GATAAACGATTCAGAATGGGAGTTTATTTTCTTAATCGAAATTGTATATTCTTTCGACAGATATACAATTTCTTATCAGTAATTACATTTCTTTATTTGAAATTTGAATTAGAATACTGTGATGAAAGTTCCGATGAGTGCATCAACGTCCTCTTCGCGAGCAACGTAGCCAAATTCAACGAGTGAGGTTCGTGAACTGCATAGCCTGTGCCATCTCAAGGGAGACTTTTCGCGAAGACGAAATTGGAATCGACGTATTTTTAGCAATAGACTTGCTGTTATTTTCAAGGGTGTTTAATCGGCTAGTTTGCCGTATTCGAAGTAGATTCAAGTTCGCTTGGAAGCCAAATAGTAATTTTCTGATAACTGGATAACTGCGGTCGATGGTTCGGAATTAGACTAATAGAATGCTTGAGATCAAATTTTGTTTTCTAATAAAATTTTATCCACAAATGAATATAAAACTTCGTGTCCTTGTTAATGTATCTTCGCGAGAATGGTGAAAAATACAAAATCAATAATAATCAATATTGTTGTTTTGCGGAAAATATTCACGCTGCACTCGTTGTTTTCGAGGCAGCCTATCTATGTATATGATACGTTGCGTCAACAAGAGATGTAGAATTATTATTTTTCGTTATCTAAAAATTTATGTTCTACATAACACTGCAATAATCTCACTATTCTTCATTAATAATATAACGATAAAAAATATCGGTAGTTGTACAAAATTCAAGTACGTTCATTTCTATACCCACCTCGGCGATTTATTACATTATCAAGCAGTAGTCAATATATGAAATGGAATTTTTATATTAACTATTGAAGACTATCTATAATATAAACTATTAAATAATGTATTTCCAAGCACTCTACTGGAAACACGTTTCGAGCATTAGGTTTTACGGTCCTCTTCGGTATTAAAAAATTGTTCAACAATGATATAATAAAGAATTTGTGTATTCTCAGGAATATAATTATATCTTTGTATTTACATTTTCAAATATGCATTTTGGATAATTGATTTTCTTATATCGTGATTAACCTCATAAATACTTACTCATGTCATTATAATTTATGATAAATTTAATAATCAAAACTTTCTATAATCGCTTTTTAAATCAAATTAACGGAAACTCCTTTTTTTCATATTTGACATATTTTATTGCAAAAGAAAAATTCTTCTTGAAACATTGTTGTAACATACTCATCAGCATACCTCTTTATCGTATTATAGTTTAATAATGTTTAAACACTGAACAAGACCATAAATTATAATGTTCGAAACGTCTGTCTAATAAAGTAGTTGCAAAGACATAATCTAATCATTATTTGTGCATATATTTGTTAACTCAAACATTTTTTAACATTTGAATAACACATCAAAATTCGTTCAATATTTATTAAAACATTATTTATATATCTCTAATTGTTTTCGATTTAGCACTTTGGAGGTTGAACTTTTTCGTGGAAGCAGTTTCGCCTTTTAAACTTGAGTCGCCACAGCTAAAAAAATACGTGCCTATTATTTTTGGCTCTTCTACAAACGTACAAAGTTTCATCCATATCTTCCGCGTTTCTATTTATTTTTGCACGGAATGGAACGGTTGGTCGTAAGTTAACTTTTATTACGTTCCTCTGGAAAATTTGAAATAAACCGGTTCCACAGTGTTTGAGAGCCACTGATGTATAACTTACAACATTCCGAATTAGGTCGTGTTTGGGTTAAGTTTCACCAGAAACACCTCGCTGATGCACTGCAAATACCTACCTTAAGATATAATGCTGTATAATAAAATCTTATATTGAATATAAAAGTGTCGATTTCTGTAACAAAAATTGAAACGCTGAGGACTCTATTTTTATTATTATACAACAAAAAATTCATAATCTACTCTTCCTTTCACATTAATTCTTTCGATTACTTAATTACTGCTAATTAAAAAAAAAAATAGTTCAAACTGTCATACTGTTTCTTAAAGTATATGTTCTACGAGAATTTTTTTTAATCGAATACAAAGTAGCTGTTAAACTTGATCGTTTCCACCAAAGTCAAAGTGTTAATGTAAAAACTTCATTTGAAACAGAAAGCAAAGGATTCGAAGGATGGCAGTTCGCGAATAACTTTTATTTACAAAATTTAACCGTTTCGCGCAATCCATAGTCAGAGAAGTTTAAAGCGAAACTGGATTACTAGGTCTTTCACGCGAATTATTGCCAATCGGCTACAATCACCTGGAGCTTCTCTAAATATTTCTATATTGCAGCTGACGTCAGTAACCTAGATAAAACGAGATCGGCCAAATATTTGCACGGCTCGAATTTCTCTATAGTTATTTTCACTCGCGCGAAAAACGAAGAACCACTTTGCAGAGAATCGCGGTCCGAGTCGACCCGCTGGGCACAATATACGATTCGTGAGGGATTATCCAGCACCGTAACGCGATATACGGACCTGCTAGCCGTGTTTTCTAATCGAGAGAAAATTTGCCATGTAAATCACGACTCAATGGGCTTTGCGAATTATGGTAGCTCTGGCGAATTACGCGTGAATGCGGATACGGTTCTGCGTTGATTTTATCAGGTGTATGCATGACTTTGTGGGTTACGTTTAGGTAGAGCTGGATAATGTTGATATCACTGATCAACTTGCATCTAAACAAACGAATAACAGACCGTAGTTAGTGATATAATATTTTTAGATGATGTATAGATTTCATTTGGTTAATAAAGTAATTCATCAGAAACGTCTACAAAACTCGTGCATACACTTAATGTGATTAACTGACTTATTTATTTATCCAAATTTTAGAGTGGCTAGATCCTGCAGGTGATATAATGAGTAAGATTATCCTAACAGATTTATCGCTATAATAAACAAAGAAAGAAAGACCCTTCAGGTATATTTACACTTTTTATCCCAGGAGGTCTTTTTATCATTCTTTCTATTCATTATATTTCTGCCTTACACTACTTTGAATTTGCTTACATACTTCTGTTAATTGTCTGGCATCCTCATTTGAGATTTTATTGGGCCCCTCTGGCTCCCTATTAGCTCGGGTACCTCGGGATCGCTAAACGCGTACTGTAGCTGCGGTCAAGGATAGCTACAGCCCCTGAGGGTGTTGATTCTATGATTTGCGATTGAATATTCTGTGTTAGGCAATCAAATAATGTGTGCAACGATAAAACGAGCTATCGACGTAGCACCGGACGAGTTTAATAAAATATATAAAATATTTTGCGACTCTAGAAATGTTATCAAAGGTATTGAGAATTATTCGAAGAATGAAGGTGTTATTCTAAAATACATTAAATACGATAGACTCGTATATTATTTAAAATATCTAAATGGGTGATTCGGCGAAGGCGAATTTTATATTCTTATTGTTATTGATCAGTTCCGTGTAGTTTACTTGTATTCTTCCCTAGTATACCGTGCAAACTCAAGATTTGTCATGTTTATTTTAAAGGACATATACATATGCAATTACACGAATTATTTAAATATATGATACGTCGTGCCATTATGTTTGGCACTGTAAGACCGAAGATCGCGAAGCCTGGAATAAAGAATGAAAATGCATATCCTCTCGGCGTCTACTCTCGATTGAGTACGATTTCTACGGCGATAACCTTTGATGAACTTTTCAAGACAGGACCAGGTCGCAGTCTCAGGAATCGGAATCGAACACACGAGACCCACCCACTCGTACCTATTAAACGGTGAAAGTGTTACCATCTGTGTATCATGAAATACCGAAATAACTGTGGACCATGCTGTACTCCATTGCAGAAAATTCTCTACCCATAGACATCCATTCTCTGTAAAAGAGATTTGTCTCTATATAATTTACATTACTGTAAATACTTTGATTATTATTGTGTAAATTGAAGACTTGAAAAAAACTTGATAATACAGAATATAAACAAAAAAAAATTGCACATAATTGTATCGCTTCTACCAAAATATAACAAATTTGTAGAAAGAAATGGCACTGTTCGAGAACGTTTGATTTCGCGCATCTCAGAATTTACAATTCGGCAAGCGAATTGCGAATCACATGGATGCGGAAGATCATCGGGACTCGTTCGTATGTCGATTTTCTGGCAAATTGCCCTCGATCGGTCACATTCCGACTATAACGAAAACCATTCGATCATAAATGATGTCCTCTGGCATTAAGCTTCGTACGTTTCGAAGCAGACGATACGACTGTTTTTAAAAGCGCTTTTAAATCTATTATAAGCTCGGACGGAAAAGTGAAAGTTTGTTGTTGAGAGGTTACTCTTTCATTTTTACTACTTTCGAGGCAATATACATGATTCCTTTTGCAGCTAAAGCATTTGACGTAAACTTTTGAAATTTGGTGTGTTTATTTATACACCTATGTACAAGATTCTGTTAAATTTACAACTGTCCTGGTGAATTTGTTTCGAAGATAGGACGTATTTGGTATGTTAACGCGATTGAGCACCGTTTGAAAAAATAACGATGCATCGTGAAGTCGTAAGCTTTGGGTCTAATTTCTGGATGGTTTGTTTAGAATCAGTTTCAATTTCATCCAATAATAGATACCAATCAAATTGAACGAGTACTTTAGATTTTATAGAGTTGAAAAGACTGAAATCATCGTTCTTAAATTTTCTAAACCGACTCTGATGTGTTCGGCTATCCAAGATAGTAAAATAAACAGCATTAATAGTATCTGTGGCATTTTTATGCTTTTTCGAAACACATAAAACACCAAACTGTCTTCCATTCTTATAGCGTTCTCCTCATTTTTTTTTCCAAAATCTAACAAGCACACTAAATATCAATATATTCAACTAGAACACAAGCCATGTTATAAGTAAAGTTATCGTCAGTGGATGGCGATGTTTGTAACACTTTTTTTAAATATCATTGCCTCTGGATACCCCTCAAATGATATATTTTCATACTCTATGATATAATTTCTTCTGTACTTGCTAGCTAAAACAGATCTGGTTGCTTTCAGATACCGACAAACTAGGTTCAGCTCTAGAAGGATACGCAAGAGGGTGGTTTTCAAGCACGGCGATTGCAATGTCGTACAAGGAAATGTCGCCAAGCGACGACGCCGTTACCTTCAGGTAATATTAAAGTATTTCTAAAAGCGTACGACCGTGCTGGTTCTCCTCTTCGTAACATAAGCGTCGTCCCAAGGCGATCTCAGAAGTCCCCCGCTTCTAACAGTCGGCGTAAACGCCTCGAGATTTCGCGTTTCTGCGCGTTTAATTCTCATACGGTATCGTCGAAACGATTTCCCTCGTTCGGTACACGAAGACGAGACTTGTCTGTTTTTCTAAACGTTGAACCACTTGCCAAATTGCTTCGTTCTATAGCGTACACACTTTCTGAGATGTAACCGCTGTGTCTCGATTCTCTAGAAACGTTTCTTCGCGTCCACTTAACTCCGAGAGACTAAAATTACCATCTTTCTCTTATGTAAAATTTAACGGTTACACGCGTCGCTATTTCCAGACTTCGATTTCGTTCCTAATATTTCGACCGTTGATTCTCATTAGACACGAGTTCCTCGCAAACGGGTTATTTCGCGCATAACCGGCCGCTTGACACGTTGACTGCCGGAGTAGTACAGTAAAATCGGAATTAATTGTGGGATAAAAGTGTCGAGATAAAAGAATTTTTATATGCTAGAACAATGAGTCGTTAGTTCTTAATTGTACCAGTACTTGAGATAGTACTAAGATAAAGTGTAGTAGTAGTACTTAAGACAAAATGAAATATTTAGAATTGAAGTAACTTGCCTATAGATCGTTTCGTATGTATTAGGTTGTGTAAGAAGCCCGTTTAGGTTTTATCGTAGGAATACTAAAAGCTGCCAATTTTGTATAGAACTTATCTAATCAATGATTTATATGCAATTTGTTCTATGACCTTCTGTCACCTTTGTGGTTGGAAGGAGCGCGTAGACTCGAGCGATCGACTAGATTCGAAGATTTCTTTTTATGAAAATTCTTTCAGGATATTTTCACGACGCTGGTGGACGCTCAATGGCGCTGGACACTTCTGGTGTTCTCCATGAATTTTCTGCTCTCCTGGCTGGGCTTCGCTTTGATATGGTGGCTGATAGCGTACAGCCACGGGGACCTCAATCCAGAGAACTACACCAATTCGAACTTTACGTTTACCCCTTGCATCGTGGACATTCGCGGCTTCACCAGCTCCTTCCTCTTTTCGATCGAGACGCAGCACACCATCGGGTGACTACACTTTCAATCAAGGATCCTAACTATCATAACTAGACTGTGGATGCTTATGCGAATTAACGTTTTCATTGAACCAAAAAAAAAAAATTAAAAGTTAAATGAAAGTGTGTATTATATTCTACACGATATAATATGTATATTATTGTCGATATTTTATGTATTCTTTCATTCGTGTACATTCTGATGGATTTCCCCGTATTCTCAATCGCCATAAATCCATAAATATCCACAGCCAACTAAACTGTGGATTTTATCCACTTATTTTGTATTTATTTGCAAAGTATGCGAGTAATTTCCATTTCACGTTCAACGAGGGCACATGTTGTAGGTACGGATCGAAACATCCGACAGACGAGTGCCCGGAGGCAGTGTTCGTCATATGCATCCAATCGATGACGGGGGTGATTCTGCAGGCTTTCATGGTCGGTATAGTGTTCGCGAAACTGTCCCGACCGAAGAAGAGAACGCAGACGCTACTGTTCTCGAGGAACGCTGTGATTTGCCAGAGGGACGGCCAGCCGTGTTTGATGTTCCGCGTCGGTGACATGAGGAAGAGTCACATCATCGAGGCTCACGTCAGAGCTCAGATGATCAAAAGGAAGGTGGGTTGTATTTTCCAAAGGGCAGACGTTTCCACGATACTAATCATTTTTCAGATTCCAATTCCATAAATATTAAGTCATCCCGTAGCTCCGTGTTACTTATCGTTTTGCTATGCAAATTAACATCTCAAACGCACCTTTAACTCCAAACCACATTTTTGAAAAAAATGTAATCACCATCCCCTCTAACGTTTCTAGAAAATCTATTACACCTCTCTACAATTTCGATAACATTTTTATAAAAATAATTTTCAATGTTATTTTTTATAAAACTATTAGGTCGTCCCATAAGTTCATGCCACTTATTCTTCTGCTACTCAAATTAATATATGAAACATACTCTTAAGTGTTATGAGAAAAGCTAATCTGTCTCGTTTTACAATATTTTCCCACCTTTCCGACATACTCACGGTACAGCCACTATAAAGTTTCTGTGGTTTTTTCATTAAATATTGACTTACTCTGCAGTATGAACTTATGGGATGACCTGATAAATAAAGCTTAACAAAGTCGAACAAAAGTAAACGTAATCGCACTGCGAACAAAACTGAACTAAAGTGAACGAACCTTACCAGTTAACTTTAACATTTATAATATTTATAAATTCCACGTGTATAACGTCTAAGAAAATGTATAACGGTTTGTGGAAATTTCAGGTGACCAGAGAGGGAGAACTCCTTCCGTTTTTCCAGACGGAGCTAAAGGTAGGAGGTGACGGCGAGGAAGACAAGATATTCTTTATTTGGCCAACAACGATCGTCCACAAGATCGACGAACAGTCGCCTCTTTATCATATATCGGCCAGCGATATGTTGCGGGAACGGTTCGAGATCGTGGTGATATTGGAAGGTATGAAAACGACAGGACGAGCAGACGTAAAAATCTCACCACTGACAGATTACATTGAAACCATTTAACCATGGTTCCAGGTGTCATCGAGTCGACAGGTATGACCACGCAAGCCAGAAGCTCCTATCTGCCAGCTGAAATTTTGTGGGGACACAGATTCGAGCATATAATCACGTTTAAGAAAGAAACTGGAGAATACGAAGTGAATTATACTCTCTTCAACAACACGTACGAGGTCGACACACCGTTGTGTTCTGCGGCTGATTTGGATAAAATCAGGTCGATACAACGTGCCAAGGGAGGTACGAGTGTAATTTTTTTAGTCTAATAACCACAATGTTCTGAGTCAAGGTAACCGCTCACGATTATTGTGCAGTATCGAATAATGGAAGTAATATTGGCCGTCTAGAGACGATGTTGTGGGTTGATGAAGTAAGCGTTGCAATCATAGGTTCATTTATTGACAATCTTTCACTTGTACGGTAATAGAACATTCTAGGTATTGCTACTCGTTTGCTACATTATAATGGGAGAAGATGGCACATATAATACAGTATCTCTTACTTTCTTTGTACCAAGAATAGTTTATTTTATGTTTAAATTTTTAACAACATAGTAAAATCGCTCCAAAATAAAGCCTTGTTTCGAAAGAACGACCAAAAAGAAATTTTCTATCGTTATTTTTAAAGTTAAAATTGCTGTAACATCAACATGGCTTCTTGATCCGTTAAATAAACCCCGTGCGGCATCATTTTCAATACACGTGTAGCCATCAAAATGTTTTAATCTTTAAGGTACATATAAGAAAAAATTGTATAAAAGAAAAGGTCAATATTTGTATTCATCCTCTTGGAATTAATTCTCAAAACTGTTGACGATTTGCATTAATAGAATAAATGGAAAGTGTCGAGAACTGGATGAAGGTCGAAGTTAAAAGCACGTATTTTATATCGAAATAATTAAAATATGTTTAATATCATTGAAGATCTAATAACAAAATTATATTGTATATAGATGATATTGGAGCAAATCTCGATCTTCTGTGTACTTTTGTACGATTTTTTTTTGTTGCAGTTCAAAGTTAATATTATAAACAAGATAAAAAAAGAGAAGATATTGTTTGTTATTTAATTTAAAACAATTGCGCTTGGAAAGAGCTGTTTTTCTTCAGTCACAACAATAACTCAACATATAAAATATTTAATGAATATTATTGCTTCAATAATATCGATTGTGTGTGGATACCTTTGCAGAACAGTCATTGATTAATCGGTTGGCGTAAAATCTCGACTCCTTTTGAAGAACCGACGACGGTCATAAGAAGTGAACTCTATTTTATCGACAATCCCGCTGTTGTAGAAATGTAATTGACCTCGATTAACATGGATCAAGTTTATTGAATCTTCGCGGAACTTTCATTCAAAGGAGCATCAATCACAGTTCTCCACCTTTAACAGATATTCTTAGGCAAACGAAGACAGAGGCAGTTTTGGGACCTAAGTTTTAACAACTGGCGATCATGGTTCTCTTTGAGGAGCACCTAGACCAGTGTTGGTTTAAATAAATTGTTAATTGGAATTTCAGAAATCGAGAAATTCAGTGTTTAGATATTTTGAATCCTCAAATAAATAAAAATGTAAGTGAATCGTCGTTGTGGTACGCAGAGCCAAGCATACAAAAACACATAAATGAGATATATTTTGATTCGCTTATCAGAACAATGATCCATTTTCATCTCTGATTATGAAAGAATTATCGAGAAGAACTACTTCACTACTTCACATTCTCTTTTCGCTAAGGAATTTCCACCATTTTGTGCATTTGTGAGCTTAGTATCTCATCGCATTTGTGAAAAAGAGTTAACGAGTCTTAAATTTTCCCATCGATTCGAACGTTTGTAAATAACAACTCAACATTCCATCGCATTAAAAAAAAAGGGCTAACGAAGTAGTCTTAAAAAAGGGTGATTTATACGCGAGAGCAGTAAACGAGATCCTCGCGGTGCTTAACCGCACAGCACTCGCAGCGGTAATTTTTGGTGTCTTGACTCCTTGTTACTTCTCATCGAAGGATTCAGATTCTTGATATAATTTCAGAGCGCATGAGCACAAGCGGGTTCGCTCATTATCGCGATGCGTCCAGCAGTTCTTTGACCACCGGATCCGGTTCGAGCTTGGCATCGTCCACTGGTGGCCTGCACATGAACGTCCCGATGACGCCACTGACTCCGATTCCAGTTATGATCACCAGCCCCGACGGTTCTCTGAGACGCGAGAGCATGCAGAGTGTGCAAACGGATGCAAAACAGCCGATATTTTACACGCAGAACGAGGTACGTGTCTCGAGGGTTTCTTATTTCACGGGAAAATCGTTTCTCGTTCTCGGGAACAGGTATACTTTGGACTGGCATTCGCGTCACTGCGAAGCGATGATTTTGAAACTGACTGGATGGACAATAAAAATGCGAAGGGAAATCGAAGAAAGTAATAAAAGCCTGGGTAAATTTTATCGGAAGTAATTAGCTTGAAAGGTTATTTCAGGAAAACGAAATAACTTCATTATATAACGTAATTGTGGCTTAAAATAAAAGAATTGACACAAATTTGAAATAACAGAAATAATAAATAATGAAACTACTTTATTATTAACTCTATTTAAAAGAATAAAAACTAGAAACGAAGACAAGGTTTGGATGCTACGTTCGACAAGGGATAGTATGAAAATGAGTACTGCAATAAAAGTTATTAATCTGAGTGTACTATCATCTCTTTGCTTAACTTCATAAGAATGACGAAGAAAATTGAAAATATCTTTGTCAGGTAGAATAAAACAGGTTTATTTGATGGAAACGTCAAACTTCCTGACTAAACTAAATAAAAATATTTATAGAAGCTTCGAAATCAGAAACCAATGAATACTCGATGTTCAAACTTGTACAGTTCCTACCTCAGAGACTGAGAATACAAAGAAACAAGATTTGAATGTCACGTTTAACCAAAAATCGTACTCAAAATATTTGAAACCTTCGTCCTTTCGATGAAACCTTGTAGACCTTCATCGTTTTCGCAGATGTTGGACAGCGAGCCCCACACCATCAGTCAGGTGGAAGAAGACGCGAGAAATCAAGAAGATTATAACCGCGTGCTGGAGGACATAAACGCGACATTAAGAAAAAATCGAGCACACGTCAAGGAGGACAAGAGGATTCACCGAGAGCCATCCAAGTCAACGTTAGACTCCAGAAAGAGCGAGAGCAGGACTAATATAGACATACTCAAAAGATCTAGCTCGAGAACGACGCTGGATCAAGGTCCTATTGTTATCAATCCTCCACCAAGATCGGTATCACGACAGCATTTAGAAGCCAAGTAAAGCGCTTTTTGGACCCTCAAGCTTCTTGTCAAGTTGTCCCATATGTTTCTTTCGGTTTATTAATAAATAATAGATGTACAATATTTTATGTTTTATGTTACATTATTTTTATATATGATGTTTGTATTTAAGTTATTAGTTATATATAAGTTTCAAATTTGATACCGGACTTTTAAATCGAATTGTACACTCGCAATTGGTTTGTTTTGAATATTTGGCTGTATGTACGTTACCATTGCATAATGGTCCTCTGAACAAAAGTTAAAAAAATAAACGTCAGCTGTGAAAATTATTCAAATAATGATTATACATCGATATATTTTTTTAAATTTAATTTGTAAAATCAGGCTTCTAAGGGTTAATGGACCTAGATGGCACGAATATTTATAGGACTGACTGGTATATAAACACTGCCAGACAAACTGTCCGCAGTTCGCGAAAGAAACTTTTGAGACAACCTGATACCAACGAATCTTTTCGATCGCGCGTAACCCACATCTCTTTCATCTGTTCAGGCACACCAAATTCGCCGAATCGACGGAACCGTATCGCGAACCACCGCCTCATCCACATCCTCACTCTCATTCAATCTCGAGGAGGTCCAGCTTGGGCGACTTCCACAAGTCCAAGGAACCGCACAAGAAGACCAGCTTCATCCTCGGCGACGACGATCACGTGATTACGATTTCGAAGGTACCCGCGTCGCAACACGATTCCGAACCGTTGGAGGCTGACTCATCGAAGCCGAATCATCATCCTCTGAGCAGAGATTCCCAGGAGCAAGTGTAGGTGAGCGAACGAATCGGAGCTTGAGATTAATTAACGAGCTACTCGACCTTAGGAGGAATGAAACCTCCCGACAGCTCAATCCGTGCTACCTCGTTTCGTTATCGATGACGAAATCGATGGTGGCCGTAAGTCCCTGGCAAATTGTCTTAGAACGAGGAGGATCAATTACTCCCCAGGCGATTTGAAACGATCACCCTTTTAAAACAACTCGACTTCACCGTAGATTGGGCTTCTAAATTGTTCTAACTGGGACACAAAGACGTCATGCGGAGTAGCTTTCATGCGCGCCTGGTGGCTTGCGTTCGCCTAACCGAGCCGCATCCGTTCCGGTTCTTCCGATCCTCGTTGTTCCTCCGCGTTTCTTTCGTCCGTTTTTTCGCTTGTTTGCGCGGACTCTGATCGTAAACGCGGAGAACCCTGTTCGGGAGAGCGAGTCGAGGCGAACTAGACTCACCGGTGGCTGGAATCTAAAGAATCGCAAGTATTCTGATTCACTCGCGATCCCGATCAACGTTCCGCTATTTCGATGCATTGCTGACTGCATCGCGTACGGGGTATAAATAGAACAGATTGCGCTCAAGTTAGAATGCGTTTTTCAGCAACGGCTCTCTATAAATCTGCTGCATCGACGCGACGTGCTCTTTCTCAGAAACATAACGTCAAATCAACTTGGATCGTATTCGAGGCTTTCTCCACCTGATCTTTTAGGATACCATGCGAACAACTGACACTGACGCTGACCTTCCTCTAGCTCGGGTACCTCGGGGTTGCTGAGCCCGTACTGTAGCTACAAATACCGCTACAGCCCCTGAGAGCACGTACTGTTATCGCGCAACTTCTCTACGTTCTGTTTCAGATTCTAATGTATTATATCTCAGTAACGGCGCGGTCAATAATTGTTATTTTCTTTTTAACGGTTTATCTCTTTGAGGAAAAATAAAATTCAAGCTACACAGAAGAACAGTGTCAACAACTTGCTAACGCGTTTTGACTTGTACACATTTCTGATTCCTCTTATTGTACTTTTAGGGTTGGTTCATAGAATTGCCACAAGAATGAAAAACTTTAAATGAAATAGTAAAGCTAAGCAAAAAGTGGGATTAGTTTTTAACCCACTTAACTTCAAAAAGTTACAACATCGATTTTTATAACATATCAAATTTTCAACGAGTTACTAAATCGCATTTTGCTTTGAAAAATTCACCCGAAAATCTGTATGTACCATGAGGGTCTGTGTTACAATTACAAAATTGTGATATCGTTTTTCATCAAATTGGGATGGTCAAATTAAATCCTAATAGGTTCGTATAAATCGTATTTAACGAAAAAACCTACATTAAAATCCTTCATTAAATAAATCCACGGAAGAACTACCTTAAGCCATATTCGTAACAATTTCTATCGGTAACAAGCGAACCGTGCCATGAGTTAGGTGATTGGTAGCCGATGAATCGCGAAACGAGCATGGGTAAAGTGATCCCTACGCGACGCAGGCCAATACGAGCACATGTCATTTGACCCCTGAAGAAGTTAACCGGACTGCTGACGAAACGTCCGAGTATCTTATCCAAAGAACACAGCTTGCACCCGGAAGACTCAGTTAGTATCGAGTTAACTTGAAATTAAACGGAGCCCGAGTCGAATCAGGCACGAGTTGTCGGGCCCGTGCTACGATTTAAGCCAATAAAAAGCGCCACGCTGAGATAAGTTTCCTCGTATTTAATTTTATGTTAATCAGGTGATTATATACATAACGTAAAGGAAGGATAGCTGTTTGGATAGATACAATTTGAAATATCGGTGTGATTTCTTAGTGGTAACAGTGACAAGAGTTTCGACGATTCAGACGATGACTGACCTTTGGAAAGATTTAGTATAGTGGTCGAATTACGCTGGATCTTTCTGTACAGCACGATTCACAAAGGCGTGTTTATTTTCTATACATATACGTTGAGTGAAGTTTACGCGGCTACAAAGTCAAACTGTGGCACGTTCGAAGTAAACGTGTGATTGATAGGATGAGGTTAAACGAGTCCGGAAATCGTAGGTTTAAATGACGGGTCGGAATGATCTTAACGACAATGAGCCAAAATAAAAGATCACCATAATTTTAGCGATGAACGATTTTATTCTGACAAGGTCGAGCTTGAATTTTGAACACGACTGGGCTCAAAATGTGGGAATTGACGAATGTAAACAAACCGTAAAGCTTTAGACGTATCCGACTAGATATTTGTATAAAATATGATATTAAACATCGAGATTGCAACATTGAATTTACTGTGCATGCCAGCGAAAGCTCGTGATTAGACTGTGAACGTTCATCGCACGTAATATACCGGATGTTCATTTGAAAAGTTATCACGTGAATATATTAAAAATACGAATTCCATGTATCTGTTTCACTCTGAGTAAAAATTTGAATTTATATTATGGAATAAAAAGGAAGAGAAAGATGGGTTTCAATTAAAATATAAATGTACGATGTACGACGAAAAGTAAACATTACACAGGGTTTTCTAACAGGAGCTTTGAGAAATTGTTTTTTTAATAAGACACGAAATAGAATATACGCGTTCTTTTTATATCTAATGAAAATATAAACGTTCGGTTTAATTTAAGTGTCTACGCTGACAGGTGTATTTTGCTATCAAACACCAAAATTCTACAGCTCTTTTTGATAAATCCTTTGTAATGTTGTTTTTCATCATATATCATGTATTTATGTTTCAATTGTTCTACTATTCTTTGGTTTGATTTCCTTGACTTGAGCAAAGTGGTAAAACATATTTCCCAATTATCGAACGAAAATGTAACCGTTCGACCGAATAAAAATTGCAAATAAATTATCTAGCGTTGGTTTCGTTCGTCATCCGTTATCCGAATCAAATTTTACCCATCTCTGGTTCGTGCTGGTACGTCGAGGTATTCCACGTTGTGATGCAATACGCGATGGGTTGAAGGGCAGATGGATGAGTAGAGGATTAAGTGGATCCAGAGAGCCGTAGGTTAGACGACACGACAGGATGAGTTTAGTGGCGGGAAGTGCCCTCGTTATCACGCCAGTCAATTGTTTAATCTCGACCTGGCCTCTTCCCTCTTCGTCCCCACTTCTTGAGCCAGGTTTCCACACACACGAGCCATGACACCACGCGAAACACGCTAAACCAGCTATCAAGTGTCTGGAACACGTAGATTCGTTCGCGAACTTGTACCCCTGCTTTCGAGCCGCTTTGCACCTGTTTCCAGCTCTGCGAACTCGTCAACCGCGAAAACAACAATTGAAGCTTTCGCTCGTTCTACGCGCTGATTGTTCCACTTTTCGAGCCTCCCGGAAGATACTCTTTCCTTGATTTCAACGTGGGATAAATTCCTCCGTGTAAAATCCACGTTCGTAGCGTTATCTCAATTGACACGTGGCTCAAGTTAGAATTACGAAAAAATGAGTTTATTATAGGACTAGTAAGTATTAAGAGTGTTCGTTTTATTTACCAAATTTAACGTATACCAAACCTACGTATTATTTGGTTTATATTGGTAAAAAGTACAAGTCAATTTTAAATCAAGTCAATAATTTTCAAATTGTTTTGAACAAATCTTAAGGGCGATCAGAATTTATGTAAGAAAAGAATTACATCGACTTCTTTTCTATCTTTTCCGTTAAAGGAAACATATAATGAAATTTGATCATTTGCCATCAAACTTTTCTTCTTCTATATACGATACATACATTCTTTCTTTCTTTCATGCTCGCCTTCTTTTTTATCCTTTTCTTTTCTCTCAAATTCTGACAATGTATACCGATACTCAGAAGATCCTTGTACAAAGATCATTTCAGTGTCCAGAACAAAGACTGAGAAACAAACGATATTCATTCATCGTAATGAAGATTGGATCCTCAGGAGTTAGCTTCCCTCTGTGCAAATTCTTCGAGGAGAGAGCCGACATTCCTTTAAAGAAAACTTTCCGCGGTTCAATCTTCTTAAACGAAAGGAAACATTTTCCCGGGTTTTTTTTTTAGCGCCAGTGACCTTCGTTACGTAAGACCAGTTCGGTTGCAATTCCGCAACATGATTTTTCCGACATTTTCGTATTATCGTGATTCTCTCCATTTCTTATTCAAAACAGCCATTGTCTGCACAACAATGAGCACTGTCTAGAATGACAGCCGACGAGCGAGGATAGAAAAAACGGCGAAGCATATCACCTTGCAACGCGAATTGCGACATCCTCCTCCGGGTTTGTCCTCGGTCTGATATGCTGATTATACCTGCACTATCTTGCGAATAATAATTCGCGTGTTTCTATTCGCACCTGAAATCGTCGATCGACTTTTCCATCGAATTGTATCAAATTCGCTAGAGATTAATTTCATTATGGCTCGATGTAAGAACATTAAGTAAATTATATATCGATAATATATGTATGTTGAACTCACGAGGGAAGTGAGTTTCACATGTGGGACAAACCGAAAACTTTGAATTTTTGCAGAAATAAAGCTCATGGAAACCCAATTACAGTGAAAAATAATATCAAGACGTGCTCCATATAATTAATATTTACTTCTTTAATTAAAAATTCTCTTCGTGGTAAAAGGTGTAGATAAATAGATGACATAAAAATGCATTTGGTATTTTGCCAGAAACCCACAAAAGTTTTTGAGCGATGGTACTACGTCACTTTTATCTTCCAGAGAAATGAAGAAAGGTAATAAAGCAAAATGTGTCACATATATAACTCATTAATGCATCGTGAAACATAAAATATTGCGTATCTAACTAATGAAATGAAAGAAACTTCTAGGATAAAAAAAAAAAGAGAAAATACACCAGCCGGGGCTAGTGACCTGATGGTCGATGGATCGTAAAAAAACCTTATTTGAAAAAAGAAAATAAATGCTAAACTCAACGATTCATGACTGCGAATACACCTGTCGCGAAGAAAGACTCGCATCGTTCGCTATAAAGTTACCGCGGCTTCACCGACCGCGAGAAAAAGAGTAATTACCGCGAAAAACACTTTCATTGCACACTTGTTTGCCTCATTTTCACGGCAATCATGACCAAGATAGCCGTCTCCGAAGGTCGTCACACTTTTAAAACGGAGTCAACGTAAGCGGTACGACAGTCACGCGCGCGGTGTACGTTTCGCTGTTTAAATAAAAACGACAGGAAATTTCAGAGGAACGAATCTTCCGTGCGAATTCATGAATGAGTTATGCGGACGTAATTAACGCGGTGGACGCGTGCGATTACGACTGACTCAACGTTAGTCAGCGGACGAGGAAATATCGTTGTGGATCGTGCAAAAGGAAAACATTTTTGCCGTTCTTTGCGTCACATGATGTTTCGATTAAAGCAAATTAGTCGAGAAAAAAGCTTTCGATACACCGCGCAATACCTGGACAAGAAGGAATAGCTGAATTACAAGTTTTATTTTAAATACACTAAATGTAAAATTCCATCCAGTCTCTTCAGCATTGAATTCATACAATTCGACGTTAAGGATGATGTAATTGCATGCTATTCCTTCGGCGAAACAATTTTCAGATTTTCTTTAATATTTATGATACGAGTTCAATATTTCTGTCCAAAATAGTTTCATCAATCTATTCTATTTAATTTCAAATTAGCCGAATAAAACTCATAATTGCTTGTGTGTATCTAAGCAATAAGAACTAATTGAACTTTGCTCTTGGTATTTTCACGATTTGTTTTATTTACAAAAACTAAAGCATGTCGTTGTCACTCTAGCACCTGTAATCAAAACGCCGCGTCATTTTCATTTCTTAATGAATCAGCTGCCCGAGAAGTCCCAATGTGTCGAAGTTTCTAATTAAACCATGCGTCATACACAAGAAAGAACACGAAGTTTCTAAAATTCTACCAGCGACGACCTTGTGATGCTGTTCGTAGAGCGGGTTACGATATATGATAATAATGATTCAGCGCGAATAAAAGTCGACACCGTTTGAACTCTGCGAACAATATGTTGCCTAACAGTTGAGAGTACTCCTATTGATACAATCACTAGATGATACTTCCACTGTTGCATACAAAAGATTTATTACAAGTATTTCTTCTTAGGATTACCGAACGTGAATATTAATCTACCAAGTTCCACCTATAATAAATAAATCAATAATGAAATTTATGCTTGTGTAAACGTACGAATAGTTTTTCCCAGTTAGCGACACACCCTCGTCTGAGAAGCTCGATGCTTCGAGAGTTTCTTTACAACTTCATTCATGGTTTCGGCGACTCTCTCTACCGAAAGATCGCAACATTCCAAAATTAATGGCAATTGCACAGAATATTTTGACGGATCCGGTCACTCGGCGAACTCGATGGTCGTCAAAGTGCTCATCGAAACGTCACGGTCTCCGTCCTCGTTGACGTAATTGGTTATTATCACGGCGAAGTGTGTCCCCTATTAGTGGATACCAGTGTACACACTGGCTCTTGTTAGTGCGCATTAGCGTGTACAGCGGTGCACACGAGGCAATGCACCGCGAACGCACGTGCTTTGCTCGCGAGACAATCGCGGGATGGACGAAAAATGAATTAACGAGCACGTTCGTGCGTTCGAGAATGAAGTAACGAGCGGGAGTACCGCTCGTGAGAAATAACGGATCGAAATTTAGTGGGCCATAGACGATTACGAATCGTTGTGTCAATTGGTAAATGTTGAAGACACGCCTTGAAGTGGAAAAAGTGACGTAGGTATTTCTATCGGTTCAACTGATTGTGAGAAACTATTTGCTGTGATTCTGGCTAGCAGGTCGAGGATAGTCGATCATTTCCTGGTAATCGAGTCAAATTTGTATTCCATTCACCTACACTTAGGGTTCGTAGCTGTTAGGCGCTTGGGTGGCAATTACCGAATCTTTGAATTTTATTTTTGTTGATTGCGGTAAATTAAATTTCGTCACATATACTTTGTTAAAGTCGTTAACGAAATTTGACACAAAGAGGGTTATACTTAGTAAGGTCTGTATTGAGCACCTAATACATATTTCAAATATAATCTATTTTATTTTAAAGTCTTCCCGACAGCTATACATTCTCTACTATATTCTATAAGAATCAAAGATAAAATATCTTTTCGTTCGTCTCCAATATCATCTAAACCAAACGCGTTTCAACATCCCTCACTTAACGCCCAACACTTGTCGATAAATTAGTACATCTGAAGAGGATCGTATCACGCATAATGAGACATCACAGTTCCCTGCTTAATTAACATCCTTCCGAAAATCCCATGTCTGAATCAGCCTACACTTGTTTCGACGTCATGAAATATACACGAGATCTATCAATAGTTCGATGAATTCCTATGCCATCAATTCAACGAGACGTGATCCGAAAACTTTCTAAAATTCGTAGTCAACGATCAATGAGCGATCCAACAAACTTTCAAAGTGACGAAAAATTAAGTAACTTTTCATTTGAATGCATTCAGTTTTCTAAAATGTTAAGAATAGAAAAATTTAATTTGAGTTATATCATTCAATTCTATTCTTATGTACAAAATATGCCATCGTTATTGTTTGTAATAGGTATCGTTAAAAACGTATCGACTTCCGTATATTGAATATTTAATTAACGCACAGAACGAAATACACTTAATATTGTACGCCATAGAAGAAAGTTACTATTGTGTGTACGGTGAGATCGTCGAGAAATCATTCATTTCGAATTCTTGGGTCGTAAGGAAACACTTTGTGCAAACAGAACATTCAGCAGTTGGAGCGAGTACAACAAACTTAAAGAGAAACGTTTCGCACTCGTTAATCACAAAAGTGTAGTTTTATTGCTATTGTGTGCAAATTCTCTTATCGAGACACTCTTGTCCCCCAATTAAATTACATAACGGATGTTCTACTGTACTTGTTTCCACGAAGTCTTCGATCTACGTATGTCCAAACGAATCCAATAGGATGTGAATGAAACGACTGTGCGAACCAATCCGAGTGATTGATATCGGACTCTTCTTTCCATCGAGCTCAAAGTTTCATCCGATGTTTTGGAATATTATCCTCTTGTAGGATCCAGTTTTGATTCGTTATCCCCCAAAATCGACGTTTCGCAGATGCTAGCAAAGCCTTCACATACGTTTTCAATAATTTGTCAACATTCAAGTTACGTCTAAACAACTCCCCTGTTCTAAATCTCGAATTATTCAATTAATTGCTTAGCTAACGTGCTTACCGAGGAAATCATGTTAGAAAAAATGTATGCATACATGAAGCAAAGACTTCGTGAGAAAAAGTATTCATTTAGAAACGATTAATCAAAGAGATTCGCCAGGTATGGAGACCTTTGTCGCAAGAGAACGCTACCAACTTACAATCGGTAGAAAGTTGCCTCGGAGATGTTAATCAATTATTCACGCCGCTGCGCGCTGGTGTCTGAACACTATTAACATAAAAGCATCTTAGTTTTAATCGAGAAAAATCTATGTATGAAGAACTTTAATATTTATTCAGCCGATCGCGATCTAATTAGACATACGTAGATTTGAGGTTTCATTTACGTACACTTTTGTTCTTTTTCAATAAATAATATACATGACTAGATATATAGTAAAAAAAAACACAAGAGATAACTGTTACTGAGATGATAATATTAAATTTGAACATGAAGTTTTATTAGAATATACTTAATCATTCAGGTTCAATTACGTTCACAGTCATGCCTTTTAACTTGTATACGTATTTTTAACATGACATTAATATAGTTGTATTTAATCATTTAAATAGAATAAGGAGCTCTTAAAATACGTTCTTTCGTAAAAAAGTGTTCTTCAAATTTGGTATGATTTTAACATGTTTTTTGTAAGACGAAATGTAAAGAAACATTAAAATTCCATTTAGTCATCGTCGATGTCCATGTGGGTTTTTCTTGTACGAGAAAGTTGGTAAATAAAAGATTTTTTTAATCGATCTTCGACACGTAAATGTAGTAGAACGAAACTTTTAATGAATCAATAATGGCCATTTCGACTGAAAATCGGTTTTGGACATCTCGAATCAAAATTTATTTTAGTGGTTGCGATTATAAACCGATTTCAGCCACTTCGATCTGTGATCCGTTCTACTTATTTCGATTTACAATCGATCCTAACCATTTCAATTCAAAACCGGTTTTAAATTGTCTCGATTCAAAATCGATTCCAATCGCTTCTAACCAAAGCGGATCTTAGACTAATTCGATAAAAAATCAATCTTTAATCATTTCGGCTGAACATTAATTCATCGATTTTCAACAATCGAAACGTTCCGATCTTTGCATACGTTTTCACGTTTGGAACCGCCAGTGATCCATCTGCAGAGATCAACAAAAGTCCGTCGGAGAAGACGTTCGCGACCAAGTACGTGACTCGATCGACGATTCTCGATCTCGTTGAGAAGTAGGAGGAAAAGGCTAAGTAAGAGAGAAAAGGGAAGGGATAAAGGCGGGCGAGGAAGGTGCGTTGACGTCACTGAACAAACTCGCTGCTCGGTACGCTCGTTGGCAACCCGATCGCAGTTTCACGATGTTTCAACGTCGACGTTGGCTCGCCAGCATTTTTCGATCGCTCGCCTCGTGAAGTCGGCGTTCAAACTCGCGAGAAATCGGCCCGCTCGCGAGACCTCGAGCCTCGACGAACAGTGCTGTGTACCCGTTGGGCGGGAAATTTGAAATTCGAAAAACGACAGGATCGAACGACATCTGTGCACCAACAGGAACCACGTGGTCCGACCTGTCGACGACTTCGGCTTGAAATTCCACACCGGAAGCAGCGAGACGACGTCGGCGTCGTGTTCCGAATCGAATCGTACGCGTCACGATCGAGGCGCGTTCTCCAAGCGATTCCAGGCGGGGTCTTCCCATGGATTTTCGCGGCGATCGTTGGTATCACTGGCGCGTTTGAAAGGTAAACGTCGGTGACGTGAGAGAATGCGTTAATTGATCGGCGCGATCGTTCTGTCGGTGACGATTCACGTGATCTCCAACGGA